CAGAAGCCAGAAACTATTCTGGTCTCCTGTATGGGTGGCAGGGAACTAAGAACTTGGGATGTTTTCTACTACCTTCCCAAGAGCATCAGTTGAAAACTAGACTGGTAGTCCATCATTTGCTGTTTAAATGTATTCTGACATTGTAGGTTAGGTATATTTTCAATATGTGAAAAGTTATGCCATCATAACATGATCCTTATTGGCTACTCTCTTGAACTGTACTCATACATTTAAGCTATAATCTGAACAACACTGACTGTAACAGAGAATCAAACTTGCACTAAAGCTTAAAGGAGGTTAGGACCTCGCCAAAGTCCAGACAGCAAGCTAGATTTGAACCCAGGACTCTTGAGTTCTTAATTAACACTGACTTTTTAAGGACATTGCTGTGTGTTCACAAGGAATGTATGCAAACTTTGTTTCTTGTTTTTGTTGAGTAGAACCTGTTTCTCTTCTTCCAACTTCTAAGCTACGTATCATCCATTCATCCATGGATTTATAGACAAGTAGGAAAAGATGTACCACCTTAAATTGGTATTAGAATCTATGCTTTAATGGAATTAAAGGTACTCACTGTGCCATGCAATCATCACCACTACCTGTCTTCTAACTTTCAGTGCTGCAGAAGTATAACTGTCAACTAGGCAGCACCTTCTCTTTCTCCTACACTGCCCAGGCCTAGAAATCACCATCCTACTGCCTGCCCATATGATCTACACAACTCCAAGTTTTCATTTAAGTCTTTCAGTTTTTGTGTTTCCATTTTCATCTATCCTTTTTGTTACCGACTTATTTCACTTAGCTTAGTATCTTCAGGGTTCATCCATATTATAGCAATGCCAGAACTTCTGTCATTTTAAAGTCTGAATATTATTGCTATGCATATTTTCTATTTTTTATCATCCAGCCAGCCAGCTATCCATCATCCATTCACCCATGGATTCACAGAGAAGCCTTGACTGACATACAGGGATTAGGAAATAATTGTGGTAGTAAGAGAATCCAAAATCTCAGTTGTCAGGACTGTCCTATACCAGTGACACACATTCTTTTACCAGAAAGAAAGAACCCAGAAAATACTGACAGAAATTCAGGATCCAAATGCCAGCACTGAACAATTAGGATTCAGGTGTAACTGCATCCTATCTGGGGAGCAAGTCATTATCTCCCATATTCCAAGTAGAATGCGTTTAAGAGCATATAGCACGTTGCTACTAGTTACCTGATCCTGTATCTGTCCAATAAACTTCTACTTTACCTGGAAAAGAAACTGATGTAGATACTCATATCACATCATACAATAAGATGAGTTTCAGATGAGTTACTCATTATAATGGGAATAAGTATAATCATGGTGATCCAGTGGAAAACCTGAGTTAATACAATGTTCAGTGTGGCAAAAGTCTTCTTTAGTGTGAAGCAAAAGAGAAGCTAAAAAGAAAAAACTGACTATATTCAACTAAGTAGAAATAAATAGCATCTAAGTGCCCCCAAATTATACAATTAAAATGCAAAAGATAAAATAGGGAAATAATTGTAATATGTGGCTGATAAAGGGATTAAAAATCACTACTCCAGAAGAAATGCAAATACAAGAAGCATATTAAAAACTACAATCTAAGTTGACAGTCAATAGATTCAAATGGAAATAGAGTATTATTTGCCAAGTAAAAATTTAAAATAATTATTTCAACACTGACAAAAATTTAAAAAGATACTGATATTCTAATGGTGGGCATGTAAATTGTCACATTATTGTGGAGGTCATCCTCTCTTCTGCTGCTACAAAGAATATCACAGATTAGATACTGTATATCTAATGCATTGCCAGCATATTATAAACTATGGAAGTTTTTTTTATCTTGATCCTGAAGTATAGAAAATCCAAGGGCAATGAAATTCCAACATTAGTGCTGGAAGGGCTATCCAAACCAAAGAAGAGGCCAAGCTAGAAATATATGTTTTTTCTTTATAAGCAGAAACTTAAGTCAAATACAGCAGTAAACAGAAAAGGGTAGCAATCACACTAGTTGGTTTTCAAAAGTATGTAAAACAATCAGCATTAACCCTCTCCCTTTCAGTCACAAATCAGTTTAATCCAACTATGAATTATATTGGGTTGGAAAATGTAATCATTTCAGTAATTGACACCAGAAAATATAATGTGCAGGATATTTCCTTTCTTTTAATTCTTTTCTTTCTTTCTTTTCTTTCTTTTTCTTTCTTTCTTTCTTTCTTTCTTTCTTTCTTTCTTTCTTTCTTTCTTTCTTTCTTTCTTTCTTTCTTTCCTTCTTTCTTTCTTTCTTTCTTTAAAAAACTACTCTTTATTTAAAAAAAATAAATATATGTTAAAAATCTTCTAGAAAAGTGTGCCACCTTTAATCTTGTGACTATACTTACATCTATGTGCTCTAAAAAATTATACTATCTTCAAAGAAGTGTTTAGAAGCATATTCATCAGAGAGACATTTAGGAAAACCAAAAGATGTAAAAGCAAAGCAGTCCAGAGATTGGAATCTGTTCAAATAAATGTAGTTGCATGCCACATAATGACATTTCAGAAAATGACAATGCATATGATATGTGTGTAGCAGGATTTACCACATGGATTTGTGTTAATATCAACTATGATATTTGCAAAGGATGAAATCACCTGGCAATGCATTTCTCAGATCATTTCTCCATCTCTGAAATGATGCAAGATTGTAAATTATTTCATATTCATATAATGGGTTTATATAATATGTAAACTTTCATTATGTTAAATATTATTGAAAGCAGCTGCAACTGAAGCTAAGACTGCTGCTCTAACATTATGTAGCAGGGTCAAATCAGCTTTAGTCAATACTTCTTCATTCTCCAGAATTAGATACAGTTATAATCTCATATCATTTTTTTTAGATTTATTTATCTTTATTGGAAAGGCGAATATACAGAGAGGAGGAGAGACAGAGAGGAAGATCTTCCATCCGATGGTTCACTCCCCAAGTGGCTGTAACGGCTGGAGCTGAACCAATCCGAAGCCAAGAGCCAGGAGCTTCCTCCAGGTCTCTCACGTGGGTGCGGGGTCCCAAGGCTTTGGGCTGTCCTGGACTGCTTTCCCAGTCCACAAGCAGGGAGCTGGATGGGAAGCAGGGCCGCCAGAATTAGAGCTGGCATCCATATGGGATCCTGGCACATTCAAGGCGAGGACTTTAACAAGTATGGTATCGCACTGGGCCCAATCTCATATCATTTTGTGTAATCTCAGGGTTAGCAAACTGATGATGAATCTTTTCGTTTTTGCTAGATGTTTTCATCGAACCATTCCCTGGAGTTTTATATAAAAACCTCATGCACACTGGTATTGGACTGATATTTTCCCCTCTTCTTAGTTCCTCCTCATAGAAACTGACCTCTAAATATTGGTATCCCCTGTGCTTAGTTCTTGAACTTATGTATTTATTTTTTGGTTTATACTTAACTCTACTATCTTTTAGTTTATGACTTTCATTGTCATGGCCTCTCCTTAAGACACAGGTGGACATATCTGTCCATTGATTCAACATTTACACTCCTATGCTTAATAGAGTCAAGTGTTCAAAGCTGAATTCCGAATTCCCCACCACCTGTGAGCCCACCATTCACATAGTACGTCCCTTTTCGGCAAGTGGTTACTCTTTCAGTTTCAGAGCCAGCCACACTGGTGATGTCCTTTGCTCTTTTCTCACACCACATCCCAAAGCTGCCTCCACATCCCGAGGCTGCAGCTACAAAATCTGTACAGAATCTCACTGCCTCTCAGCATTTATGTGGCTGCCTGCTGGAGCCAAGTCTCCATCTCTTGGGTTTTTACATCCTTCTCTTGTATCTTCCTCTGATTTTTACTTTTGTCCTCTATAATATACTCTTGACAATCTTCCAAAAACCAAGTTCTATGATAGCCTGTCTCATTCAGTAGCCACCAAGAGGTTCCACTTCCCTCAGCAAAAGATTCAAGGCTTTCAAGGATACACAAAGCTATATGTTGTCTTGTTTCTGACTCGTTTTTGAACCTTCCTTCCTGCTATGTTTTGTCTCCCTCTCTTCTACCCACATTGACCTCCATACTGTACCTGGTACCTGCCCAAGTACTTTCCCACCCCAGAGCCACTCTCCAGGCTGCTCTCCTACTATACACATGATTCACACCTTCCACTACCTCAGGCCTTTGCTCTAAAGCCACTCCTTTTTGCTGAGGACATTTCTGTCCATGCTATGTGGTCTTGATACCACCTTTCTTCATGTTGCTACTTCGCCCTTTACCTTCTTTACTTTCCCTACACATCACCTATGATCATCCCATATTGCTTGGGCTTTATTGTCTGTTCTCTCTAATAAGAATAAAAGCTCCACATGGATAAATACAGCTTCCTTTTTTGCTCACTGTTTTATTCCAAAGGCTGAGTAGGGCGTTTGACACATAGCAGATAATGTAGTGGACACTTATTGTTGAATGAATCTATCGATGCTATATCTGAGAACATATCAAGGCATTACCTTTGAAGCTAAGATGATGAATGAAGCTGGGAGTCATTTGGAAGCTTTTAAGTGCTCATGGGGTGAATGATTGCTATAATCTTATAAATTGCCCAAATAACAAGAGAAAGGTAAAGATGGCACCTCTGAGGTTCAGTTAGGATGATGGATGTTCTTGTACTCTCCCTCATTCGGTTCCTGTCACATGACATGGATACAACATGTGATGACAAAGAGTAGGATGCTAAAGTTGAGAGACGATGAGGAGACTTTACAATGCGAGTTGGGTTCAAACCACTGCTCTTAGAGCTAGTAGAGACACTGGGCAAGACATTCTTTCATTATTTAAATCATTTAAGGCTATGTGTTGCCATTGTGTATGTGTGTGTGTTTGAATTACCCGTTACTTCAAGGCCATTTTAGGGAGGTTCTGGTTCGAGAAGGAAATATAAATTGACAGGAGGAACATATTCGACATATATTGAATTTTTTTTATTCCCCCAACGGAGGGCGCCGTCCCTGGAAGTATGGCCATACCAGGTCGATGTGCAGGGTGGATGGAACAAGCTCCTGTTCCAACTCCCTGCTCCCAAAGTCCATTTAATATATTGTCCTTGGATAGAGGACATATTAAACTGATAAGAAGAGATACTACACTTGATCTTAGCCAAGTCTGAGAAGCAATCAACATATATTGAATTAAAAAAAAAACATAAACAGGGCCCGGCAGCATGGTCTAGTAGCTAAAGTGCTCACCTTGAACTTAAGATCTCATAGGGTGCCGGTTCTAATCCTGGCAGCTCCACTTCCCATCCAGCTCCATGCTTGTGGCCTGGGAAAGCAGTCAAGGATGGCCCAAGGACTTGGGATCCTGCACCCACGTGGGAGACCAGGAGGAGGTTCCTGTCTCCTGGCTTCAGATCAGCACAGCACCGGCCACTGCGCTCACTTGGGGAGTGAATCATTGGACAGAAGATCTTCCTCTCTGTCTGTCTTCCTCTCTGTATATCTGACTTTGCAATAAAAATAAATAAATAAATAAATAAAAATAAAGAAAAAATAATAAAAGACCATAAAAGCACTTTAAAGATAATGATCTTGTTTAGATAGGAAAATAATGTTTTCCAGAATCTACTTCTGTAAAGCTTCATTTGCTAAGAGAATGTAATTAGAAGAATACATATTCATATTACAAACATGTAATAAATACAAAGTAATGTCCAAAAAGGGATTATCTCTGAATATTGGGACTGTGCTTTTGTTTCTTTTTTTTTTCTTACCTATATCTCTAATTCTTAATCTTATTGTTCCTTTATTTTAAAAAACCCTATTTTATGAGCATGGTTGTGGAACTAACTCTTAGATGATCTGAGGGTGTGAGATATTTTAAGCAATATCCATGGAGTCTCAGTGTCAGAAATGACTTTTAGGTTATGAAGGCAAAATTTTCCAAGTGATTTTCTACTTCACATCTCTGATGGCAGAAATGGTACATTGTATACATCTGTCTGCATATCCCACACAATGGAAATTCCTCCCATTGGAGTCATCCATTCCAGAGAAGAATCAGCACAAGCCACTTCACAACTTATTAAGAGAAAAGCTGAAAATGGTCCAGGGCTTACAATGCCCTATGCAATGTAATTAATCTTGTATATGTAAACTAATTGTTCAATTTTTAACATTATTCTTTTAATTTTCTCTTGGTGCTAATTCTTTTAATATGATACGATATTCTTGGGATCACTAAACTTAACACAGGAGAATTTGTTTCTTTTTATTGTTCTGAACATTTCTTAAAATTAAAGCCAAATTCGAATTATCCTGTTTGATGATTTGTCAAGAGTTCCAAGAAGGCTGAATGCTGCTGTGTAGTGAGTAAAAGCTGCCACCTGTAGTGCTAGCATCCCAAAAGGGTGTCAGTTTGAGTAATGGCTGCTCCACTTTGGATCCACTTCCATGTTAGCATGCCTGAGAAGTCAGCAGAAGATGAACCCAAGTGCTTGGGCTCCTGTAACCACATGGGAGATCCACAGGAAGCCCCTGGCTCCTGCTTTGGACCAGGGCTGCTCCAACCATATGACAAATTGGGAGAATGAGTCAGAGCATGGAGGATCTCTGTGTGTGTGTGTGTGTGTGTCTTCCCTACTCTCTCTCTGTGTGTGTGTCTTCTCTACTCCCTCTCATAACTCTGTGTTTAAAATAAAATAAAATTTTAAAAACATCTTAAAAAAAAGAATTCAAGGAAAGGAAGATCACCTTGTGGTTTTTCATGTGTACCCTTTTTAAAAAAGATTTATTAATTTATGTTAGAAAGTCAAATTTACAAAAAGAAGGAGAGACAGAAAGATCTTCTGTCTGCTGATTTACTCCCCAAGTGGCCAGAGTGGCAAGAGCTGAGCTGATTTGAAGCCAGGAGCCAGGAGCTTCTTCCTGGTCTCCTATGTGGGTGGAGGATCTTAAGGCCTTAGGTTGTTGTCGACTGTTTTCCCAGGTCACAAGCAGGGAGCTGGATGGGAAGTGGAGCAGCCAGGATACAAACTGGTGCCTATATGGGATCCCTGAAATTGTAAGATGAGGACCTCAGCCACTAGGCTACTCCACCAGCCCCTTTATGTGTACCTTTCAATGCCTATGGGAATTTTTCAGTTCTAATACACTCATATGCTACACAGGTACATGCTTACAATAAATAGTTTTATGTTTTGTAAGGGGGAAAGTAAGGGAGAAGGAATAAAAACATAAAGAGGATTTCATGCCAGGAGTTGACCCTCAGGAAGAAAATCAGGGCTCTCTTAATGTTATGAGTATTCTCAGTACAATTAAATTTGTTTTGAATTTGTATAGCGAATGTATCTTCATTTTAATAAGCATAAGTTGTCATATGTAGCAGAAGCTTTATGATATGCACTATTCAAGATGGAAAGTACATGATGGACAAGGAATTGGGGGTGTAGGCTTCTCACTGTTGTGCAACACATTCTAACAGAGGTAATTTAAAACAGACAGCAGAAGCCATCCTGGGAGCAGACCTCAAATATCATAATATTAACCCCAGCGTTGAGGTCTAGGAGGATTGGTAAGTTACGGGATTATGGGAGTTCACTGGCGTTGAAATTCCTGTGATGAATCACTTCTGAATACCTTCCTTTTGCCAATCACTATGCTGAATTTTACTGAAAAATTGTATAGAAAGAACTATTAATCTTACCTTTGGTATCTGTGGCCTAGTGACATTATAAAACAAGCAGTTGTAGGCATTTTAATTTATTTTTAATTTAGAATTATTTGTGGTTTAATTTCACATTACTTGAAAGGCAGATAGACACAGAGAGATAGACAAGGTCTGTCCCCAAGGTCACTATCCAAGTGCCTGTAACAGCAAGATCTGAGCCAGGCCACCAGTAGTTGGGAACTCAACCCAGGTCTTCCAGGTGGGTGGCAGGGATACAAGTGCTTCAGTACCCAAACACATTATCTGCCATCTTCCAGGCTGTGCATTAATAGGAAGCTGAATTGGAAGTGGAGTAGTTAGGACTTGAACCAGGAGCTCTAATAAGGGATGTGGGCATCCTGACAGGCTAACTGCTTTGTCAAGTATTCTCCCCATAGGATTTTTTTTTTCAGACTTGTATAAATGTTCATGATGACACTAAACTGAAAAAGAGTGTGCAAAATTACATAATGTGTATACAATTAACTATACAACGATCTAAACATTGTTTGGAAGAAATGCTGAATCATTATAATGAAAAAAGTGAGTGATGTCAAGGAAGAAATATTTCAGTTTCCCTTATCCTTCTCTCCTACATTTTTGTACTTGCAAAATTTTAAGCAGAGCAGAACATTTATAGCCCAACAGTTAAGATGTCCGCGTCCCACATCGGAGTACCTGGTTTAGTTCCTGGTTCTGGCCCATGATTCCAGCTTGTTCCCAAAGCAAACTCTGGGAGGCAGTGGTAAGGATTTAAGTCACTGGGTTCTCATCTCTCATGTGGGCATCAGGATTGCTTTCTCAGTTCCTGGCTTGTTCCCTGGCCCAATTCTGTCTGTTGTGGTCATTTGAAAATCAATTCAGTGGGTAACATCTCTGTCTTTGTCTTTAGTCCTTAAATAAAAAGATTAAAAAGCAGGGTAAATGCCACTCATTTTACTGATAGTCTTATTTTACAGAATAATAAAGACTTTATCCTTAATCGTGAAATCTATTTCTTACCCTAAATTATTCTCTCTTTCTCTCTTTGTAAGATTTATTTATATACTTGAAGTGTAGGGTAACTTATGGAAAATAGATTTTCCATTTTTTGGCTCCTTTCCCAAATGATCACAATGCTTAGGTCTGGACTGTGCCTACGCCAGGAGGCCAGAGCTCCATCTGGGTCTCCTACATTGATGATAGGGACCCAAGCACTTGGACCAGCCTCTATTGTTTTCCAAGGCACATAGATAGAAAGCCGGATTGGAGTAGAGGAGTAACTGGAAACTCACTGGTGTGTAAATGGGATGCCAGCATTGCAGGTGGTAGATTAATCCACTGTGCCATGCTCCCAGCCTCAACTGTATTCATATTGTCCATCGTAATGCTTGGCAACCTCATCTTTGTTCTTTTTTTCACCCCATCTTTCTTAACAAATTCCAGACTTCCATGAATTTGACTTTTCCTAGTTCACATTAGCATCTTGCATTTGTTTTTTATCTTTCTCCTTTTCAAGTGTCCTTTATTACCCTTCCCTGTTTAGGGGACTGTAACCTTCAAAAATTTCATAGAAATATACATCATGTATTAATAACATGTTTCCGTGAACTTTTTTGAAGCCTTCTCCTACCATCTGTCATCTTAGTGGCATATCCAATTCCTGAATCATATACTTGAGTTGCAGCTTCTCTAAGGAATATCAAGAGCCAAGGAGCTCCTTTGTGACACCAGTGGGCTCTGGTCTTTGCTATCAGAGTATTTTCAAAGATGGTAAAAGGCAGTCAAGTAAAGTGAAGAGATGAGGCCAGTTTTAAATTTTCTAAGCTTCTGTTTCCTCATCGGTACAACTGCATCTCGGGTTAAGATGAAACTTCAAAGAGTTAAAATATGGAAAGTACCCAGCATGGTGCCCACATGCAACAGCTGCTACTGCAATGTTCTGGTTCTTCTTCCTCACTTCCTCCAATTCTACCATCTGCCTGAGTACAAGAATGACGAACTTCAGGGCATGTTGTCTGTGGTTCTTATTATATACATCTATTAAAGATCCAGTTAATCTATTTTGGTTGCCATCAAAGCAAGAGATTGCCATCAAAATGTCTATTTATGCCAACAGAATGGGAGTACTTTATTGATCCGCCAATTACTAGTGTTCTACTATTTTGGTCTAGTCTCAGCTTTCAGGAGTTTCTTCTGCAGTTAGCAAAATGCCAGTGAATAAACAAATAAAATAAAAGTATCGTGTGGGATTAAACCAGAAGCAAAAGAGATTGTTGAAACTACTTAGCCCGATTTTTGGTGTTTTTTCTAATGCCTGTCTTAGCTGTTTGATGGAGTTTAAGTATGGCAGAGTCCTGGATTCTCTCTGCCCCAACAGTGAGGAAAATAATCATAACTTTTCTTGCACCTTGATGAGCCTTGGTGTGAAAGTGGGAGGTAATACGATATTAGAGAGGAATGTTTTAGCCTTACGTTTGCATTCAGACTCC